CAGCGGCAGCAGCAGCAGCAGTAGGCATGAAGTCAAGGTGGTTCTTCGTCGTCATCGCTGTATGGGTGGATTGGGAGACAGTCACGGAAAAGGATTGGCAGCAGTAGTCGTCTAGTGCGGTAGGAGAAGCCTTCAGAAGCCGCAGCAGGGAGCAGCAGTCGAAGTCGGATGGGTGTCACTTCACTGCGACTTGCTCCTCGTCCTCATGCTGCATCTCCTCCGTTGCTGCTGTTACACATTGTTGGCATGCCTATTAGTGTATCTCCTCCCCTGACTTAGTCTAGCACTGCTAACACTATCACCATTATCGCTCTTCTAGTGTAATTACCATACCGCCGTCGTCGTCGCTGTCGTTGTGATGGTTGCTGTTGTTGGTGTTGTTGTTGCTGTTGCTGCTGCGGCTAGCAGTTTTAGTGTGTTCTCGGTTTGTGGGAAACAGGGTGATGAAGTCCCCGCTGAACTTCAAAGTGGCAGGAGCCAACGCAATCTTGGCAGAGTCGCGGCAGCACCCAGGGGACCCAGAGTTTGCCGCGCCAGTAACTACACTACTATTATTGCGATTAATATTGCTATTATGATGGCTATTAATACTTTTATTAATACTATTATCATAATACTATTAATACTATTAACCATAACTAATTAGAACATCGGGATTATCGGGCTCACTTCGCCCTGCCGGTGCATCCCACATTCATCGTCCACAGATGGACGAAATGAAGCACCGACAAACCACACAGCAAGTTTTCCCTCAAAAAAATCATGTTGCGAATGCTTTGCTACGGTTATGATGATGATCACTCTTGCCTTTCAATGCTGAGGTTAGCATGGCCATCTGCCGGGCGGCAGCTGCATGCAAGAATCAGACGCCGCTCCCGCTCTGTTTATGGCCTATTGAACATCGGTATCGGGATTTGGGGTTGTAGAGCTTGGATATTCAACCGGGTAAGAAATGGCCAACTCTGATGCGCTGACTTATTTCTGCTCCACAGGCACTGGAAGCCGGGAAGTCTTTGATGGGAGGATGACACATCCCCGGAACCCTAAGCCCTGAATCCAAGAAGTCTTGTCGCTCTAAATCCGAAGATCCGCCCCCTAGATACGCCAGCCCTAACCCTAAACCATTACCCCTTCTTTCTGGTGGGGGAATCATGGAGGCTCTACCAACGAGTGGCGGAGCTTTCAGGGAAGCCGACGGACAAGTTTGTGCTCCCTGTGCCTGCCTTCAATGCAACTCGGCTGTACTTCAGGCTTAGGTTTCAGGGTCTGGGCTTTCAGGTATTCAGGGCTTAGGGGGCACTCAAGAAACGTATGGCGGAGAAGGTGTGGCCGTGCTTTTGGGATTTCTCTGACGCAGGTTGGTTGGTATCGTAGACGTGGGATCTCCAAGAGACAGCCAGCAAAAGCAACCTCACAGTGTCGCCCACTAAAGGTTAGTGCAAGGCAGAAGTGGACATGCCTTTTTGTAGTGAACACGAAGACTTCAGAGCGAGTTGCCCAGGCATGGGGAAGTGGCAAGTCATGCCATGGCTGCTGCAATCAGGAACTAGCATCCTGCTACCCTGAACTAGGTGGCAATTTAGAAAACTTGAAAATTTCCCTTAAGGTTTCTATAGAAGTACCTATTCATAAATACTTTTCAGGGTCCCAAAACCTCAACCCAGGAGAAGATGTAGCATCCTACTACCCCAAACCTTTCACCGGACTCCCGGGGGCTTAGGGTTACGGGCTCCAGGGTGAAGCCCGAAACCCTAAACTTAAAGTGATTTCCGAATGAATATAGAAGCCTACATCATTATCAATAGTAATCCTTAAGGTTCCTTACTATAATATAAGCATACTATAAAGGAGCCCAAAACCCCATTCTAGTTGTTAAGGCCCCTGCATTACGCCTGACGAAGAGAGATCAGCAGTTTGAGAACTTCAACCTTATGCCCGGTGAATGGAGCCGAAGGTTTCTAGGGTTTAGAGTGTATACACGAGTAGAAGTCGTGGGTTTGAAAGGTTTTGGGTGTGAGGGTTCAGGATGTATGGGTTTAGGGCAAAGCTTAGGGTTTTCATGAGGGCCTATGGGTGAAACCGAGCCCCCAAGCTCACGCCTGTCTATGTCGGACCCGAGAAAGAAGCGCTATTCCTGGATGAAGCCTCCGCCCTTGGAAAAGATCCGCGATAGGGTTTAGAGTTTCGGGGTTAGAGGGCCCTAAACTTAACCCCGTTAGCAAACCTGCAGTCTCGAAATCCCAGAAATGTCGTGGGTCAGGTCATTAATGGCGGGAGCCACGCGGGCAACGGGTTGCCGGTGCAGGCGAAACCGGATCTTGCCGCCTTCTCCGTTCCACCGATGTTCTGACATATCGTGTTTATTGCCGAAGGGGTCAGGTCTACGCAGACTGATTTAATTACCCATAGGCCCCTAAGTAGTTCCTTTTTGGGACTACCTTATAGGATTCTAAATATAAACCACAAAAAGGAACTACTTAGGGGCCTATTGGTAGGGCTGAGGGGGTGGAGTGCAGGGTCTCCCAAAAGGGACGAGGGCCGCCCTTGCAAAGCCCCTGATGAAGATCTCAAAGCTCTTTGCATGCCAGCGCAGATAAAGTCAGATACAGGTGGAACCAATCTGCGAAAGAAAAAGCAGTATAAGGGGCCATAAGTGCTACATCCTAAAGGAAGAATATGCGAACCCAGATGCAACGGAGCTATGGACCCGCAGATTCCAGAATGAAGCGGTGAAACTCGACTCGACAACCTAAACAAGCGCCGAAACTCGATACACCAGGCTAGGCAGGCCTAGTCATCGACAGAGCAGCGTTTCCCAAACAGCTTCAATAGCTAGCAATGCTCGTCCTTTATGGGGTTTTGAGTTTAGACGAGTAGGGCTCAGGGCTCATGTATCATCAGCAGCACTTCGCAAAAACTGCTCTTGCACACAACGTCAGCACAAGGTTTCGCAAGACCCTTTTGCCGCTATCGAGGTCCTCATAGCACCTACTGTCCTGTTTCCTTCTCCATTGCCCTCGCCTAGGAGTTTCAGCACCTGTCGTGCCTGATAGCAAGCGAGTTACTCGGACCCTCCGTAGAACGACACCTACAAAGCCACCCCTACGTTTGAGAACTCCCAGAGCAGCATTGCCGCCATACCGCTTTCTGAGTAAGTCATAAAACCCGCTGCGGAAGAACGGCAACGAAGTTCCACAGTGTCCCCTTCCTCACCCCCAATCCACCAAAGGCCTCAACACCGAAGCCTAAACCCCAAAAGGCCCACAAAACGGCTGACTCCTGCAACCCGGGGCCCGAAAGACCCTATAGAAGCACCCCCAAAAAAGCCTACAAGCCCTAGAATCCACTTAAGAACCCACCCCTAAACACCCTAAACCCTATAAACAACACAAAGCCGACGAGGAGTTCATGATCCTTCCCGTGGGCGCCAGCAGCTTCAGAGAAGCCATTCAGATCGGAGCAGAGGCTCCGAGCACGTGGGTTTGGAGATTAGTTTTGAGGTTCTGTTCGCCGCCTTGGGGCTTGATCGTTTGCATTTTTTTTTGGGGGGGGGTTCTTTTTTAGGGTTACTGGGCTCCTTTGGGGGTTAGATGATTATGATGATCATGACGGTTCGCTTTACATGACAAGAGTGCACGGTTCTGTAGAAGGTGCTGGATTCTACGTTTCTTTTTGGCGGACTGACCTAAAGTGTGACAAGCTGTTGCACATCCCCACAGTTTTCGTGCGCTTTGCCAACCAGAAAAATTCCGAAGCCACATGCCCCAAAGCCTGCTTAAGCTGCTCGTGAGCATATGGACTTCCTAGCCCCTGAAGCTCTTACAGTCTCAAGCCACCTGTGCCTCATGCGCCTTGAAGGACCCGGGGATCCTCGCACCTTACTGTAAAGCCCTATAAAGCTTAAACTCTGAACTGTGAACCCTCATCAGTTATTGGAGCCTAAACCCTAAACCACGCCTCTAGATTGATCAGACTTGAGCCGCCTGATGTGAGACACAATGACGTCTTACATGTATACGATTATGTGCTTCGGCCCGTAGAGCCTTACACATTTGGGGATTTCGGCATCAGGGTGTTTTCGCATTTAGGTTCAAGATGCATCTGTGAGCGCCGCTTTCGGGGTCGTGCCCTGAGATGGGCGCAGAAGGAGCCCGCTGCCGAATTAGAACATGCCCCCTAACCCTGCTCTCGTTGTAGCTGGGGCCCCCCAGCTAAAGACTCTAAAGCCAACCCCATCTTCCTCAATCAGCGACATGTCCTAAACCATAAAGCCCTGCCTCTACACTTCTGCCCCTGTGATAGTCCGGCTCACAGGTCTACCACAACCTTAAGAAGGTCATCCAGGCCCGGATGTGGAGCTATAAGGGGTTTGTGCCTGTGGAGTTCGGCTTGCACGATTTCGGGGTTTAGCGCAGGATTTCGGATTTAGGATGTTAAGTTAGGGTTTAGCGTGTTAGGGTGCTTGGGTTCGTTTACGGCGGGTTCCGTATGTCGAGCGTTCAGGGGTAACAGGGCGCAGGACTTTGAGCAAACCGGCTGTATTCACACGGGCAGTCGACTCTGCGACCCTAAAATCCCTAAAACCCTAAACCCCTGGTATGCTCTCAGGCCGTGCGTGCAGGCAGACAGACCTGAAGCCCGAGCCTAGCACCCAGCAGAAAGGTAGAAGTAAATGTCAAACATGTAGCAATATAGCGAAGTAGTAGCATATTTATCTACAATATTGATAGAAAGTAGAGTATACTAGAAGCAAGAGACTGAAGTACGGCCAGTGTATAAGCACAGTGTCTTAGAAGACACTTTTGAAACGAAAAAGGCTGGGGCATGCATGCCTGCACAGACAAACAACGGTACGTCTGCATATGCATGATTTGTATTTATTCATTATTACAAGTTCAACACGTATTCCATGATTTATCAGCGAGTAGATACTACCCAGGAGAAGTACGGCCAAGATGCCACCAATGTGGGCGACGAAGGCCCGCGGATATACGGGCAGATCTGGTGGTAAGGGTTTGGAGTTTAGGGTTTAGGGTTTAGGGCTTAGGGTTTAGGGCTTAGGGTTTAGGGGGCCGGATCCGGGTTGTGGGATCTGGTGTCGATGATGTTCATTCGCGATCTTGGTGTAGTTACTCACTCGCTACTTCTAAACCCTCCATCTACCTTCGATTAAGCTTTACATGCCCGTCAAGGAGCAACAGACCGGGTTTAGGGTTTACGGCGCAGGGATTGGAGGTTTGAAGCTTAGAAGCATGGGTTTCATGATCTTTGGGAGCCGTGCTTGTGTCAGAGATAGCGCACACTATGATAGTGCCTCAGGATCAGCAAGACTTTTCTGCTTAGGCCCGGTATAACAAGTCACATCGCGGAACCCTAAACCCTAAACCCTCAAACCTAAACCCCTGAAACCCAAGCCCAAAGCCTTGGCACAGTTTACCCTCAGGTCATGTTGCGTGCCCCATCCGGGGATTTGGGTTTAGGTTCAGGCTTCCTTTTTCCGACACTCCTCCTTCACCTAAACATCTACGAGCCTGAAGCGCTTTCGACGTCAGCGGATGGAGATCTGAGCGCACAGGTGCTACAATGTACCAGGATCCATACTCTGACACATGAACCCTAGCAAGAACCATGGGTTTGGGAATTAGATGTTCCCTTAACCCTAGACCCCGTTTCTTCGTGAAGCAGAATCGGGAAATCTAGAGCGTCGTCATCCTGATGTGCTTGAGGTTTCCAGCGTTACTCATCCCTAATCTACGTTTCCACCTGTGGCTCACTCTAAACCAAACCCTAAACCCCAAACCCAAAGTCCCACAGCAGCGCGAAGACTTGCAAGGTGGTTTTGCTCCTAACGTCCTCGAGAGCGACGAAGCCCTGCAGGCAATCATACATCATACATGCAGACAAACCTACATACCTACATGCCCACATGATTACACACATTTTCAGTTATGTCCTTCCATGCATGCGTACCTACATGCATATATACGCACTACGCACACATATGCATTCCTGCTGCCAAACAGACAGACAGCCAGCCAAGCAGCCAGCCAGCCAGACAGACAGACAGAGAGACATGCATACATGCATAGAAGCAGTTTTGTCAGTAGCATGGCGATTGCTTTTGTTCTTGTCTATAGTAGCAGCACCATTACCAGTCTAGCATAGGTATCAAAAGGCTCGCGGATCATAACAGCTAATTGATTTTCCAACTTGTGCGAGTCCTGTCGGCTTCATATCCACGAGCTCAGGTTTCCTGTACCCGAAACCCCCAATCATCCTAGACCCCGTCGACGGGCAGCGCTCGGACAGACTGGGCTGGGGATGCAACCTAAGTCTACAGATGCTATACTCTGCGTAAAGTAACAAGGATGTATCGTCGCAATAGCACAAGAGCAGCAGAACTCTTCGCAGTATTCTTGAAGGTCAGGGGGACAACCGAAGCATAGTTCGAAGCAGTGTCGATAGTGATCGGTGATCATAGCAACATGTTTGCTGCCATAACCTGCCCGGCACAGGTGCTGATGACAGCAATCGAAAAGTCTGGCCATGCCCCTTTGGTCAAAGGGTTTAGGGTTTAGGGTTGGGGTTTAGGGTTTAGGGTTTATAGGGTTTAGAGAGAGCTAAAAAGGGGCTACCACGACCCTAAGGCCAAAAAGCCTTGCCTCAGAATGCCCGAGATTGCCGAAAGTGATTTTCCCTGGCTCTGGTCGTAATGTACTGTAGAAGGCGGAATACCTAGGTAGTTCGCCTCTTGCAAGTACAAACTTCGCTATGACTATCGTGTTCTTCGGGTTTGGGGTTTCCGGCTTTCGGATTTGATTGTGGGTGTTTTCGTTTCTAGACGCTTGCGGGAGGAGCCCCGCCATGACCCCACAAGGCTGCAAAAGTCAAGCTTGGCACGGATGTAGCAGCTTCAGAGTTCTACGATGCCCTTCGGCTGCATGAAAAGCTTGGAGTCACGAAGTCGGGATTTCGACCTCCCGCTCGGCTTCGGACGTGTTTTGTTTGGTTTGCTCGTGGTTTTTTGTTTGAGCTCCTGGTGGGATCTGGGCCTTCAGGCTGTAGTGTTGCGTCTAGGACCTGGGATTAAGATAATAAGCAGTTCCGAGCATAAGTGTGGGATCCCAAGGACTATCAGCAGAGAAAGTGGGTAAGCCCTAAACCCTAAACCCTGGCTTAAAGGTCCGCTTGCAAGAGGTCCCTCTCATGTCACAGTCCTGAGTGTGCTTCGATTACACGAGGTTTGCATACACATAGCCCCAAACCCCACCCTCCCTAAGCTCTAAAGCGCAAACCTCAAACCCACACCCGAGACCCAGAGAGGCCAGAACGATCAAGATGACGTCCCCAGAACCCTATGCTACTTCCTCAGGCCCCTATGCTGAGCCCTCAATGTATCCCTTAATTACATAGTGCACTTAAGGGAATTCCTGAAAGGAGCCCTATTCTAATGATTCTATGACCCCTACATTCCAGTCAAGCCGCCCCCACCTGGAACTGTCGGTTCCCTTTTAACAGCCGCGAGCCCAGAAGTCAATAGCAGCCATCCTGCGAAGAATCACCCACTCCCACTCGAACCCACTAAGATTTCGGATGCAGAAAGCTTGATGGGGTTTAGGGCTTTAGGGTTTTAGTTTAGGGTTTTAGGGGTTTAGGGCTACAGGTGTTTAGGGTTCTAGGGCTTCATGGTTTTGGGGGTTTAGGGCTTCAGGGGTGTAAGGTTTAGGGGACCCTTGCACCCTAAACCCAGGCAAAGGAGAAGAAGTATGACCTCTACTGGAAGGACAAAGACAAGAAGGGGCCGACTCCTCATCTTCCTACCAGTGGGGCCCGATATGCGGGGCCTGAATATGTAGGGATATTATACTGCGAGGTTCCTTGGTACATTTATTGCAATATGCCCCAGTTTATAGTATAGTTTGCCCCAGAACCCTACTCAAATTATTGTGGCCCCTACTTGGTCGAGGGGTGTGGTCGGATCCACGCAAAGCAGTTTGGGGGTTCTGGGGTTTGGGGTTTGGGTTTGGGGCTTCAGGGTTTGAGTTTTCGGGTTTGGGATTTGAGGGCTTTGGGGCCCACGGTAGTTCCAAAACTTGCTCTAGGCGCACAGACCAAAAATGTGAGTTCTGTGTGCGAGTGTAAAGAAACTGCAGCGACATGTGGCGCTATGTGACACTGTGCTAGTGCAAAGTCGCTTTTGAACAACATCAGGGCCGGATGGTGCTCATCATCGACATAGCCATCGCCGTCATCGCCATGTTGATTCGGATCCAAGCCCTCCGCCCTAAACGCCCAAACCCAAAGGAAACTGAAAACCTAAGCCCAAAAGCCTCTAAAGCCATACATTTAGAACCGAAAGCCAGAGAAGTTAGCCAAGCGAGGCAGAAGCTCATGTCTACCGCAGAGCTGGCAGAGTACTTCAAGGGATGGACCGAGAAGAGCCATGTCCGGGATCCTTCTGGAGTTTGGCGTGTTAGGTTTAGGGTACAAGCTTTGGGTAGAGTTTGGGTTTCAGGATTTAGGGCGTTTGGGTTTGGGGGTTTAGGGCCTTTGGGCTTGGGGGTTTTTCAGGGCCAGGGTTCTGGGACTACGTTTTTTGGGGTTCAGGGTGTCGGACTCCGGGCTCTGACATGCACCAAGGCCTGCTTCACCCCCCCCTCACCTGTGTGGGGATATGTCATGAGTGGTATACGTAACGAACCCTAAGGAAGAATGCTACGAATCAAAGGGTTTCTCGAGCTTGGCTTTGCCAAGCCCTAAACCCTAAAGCCTGTTGGTAACATGACCTGGAGGACAATCGCAAAACAGGAGCTCTAAAACAAAAAGACCTGCGCGTGTTAGCTAGGATTTCCAGCCGGAGCCTTCCTTTCTGGTTGATCGGGGGGAACTGTTCAAAGTAGGGATCCCGTTTAGGAGTCCTTATGTTTGAGTATCCGGCCGTAGCCTGTATTTGTTGAAATTCCTGATGGTATTCTGCTAATGTGAAAGACTTTTATGCAGAATTGGATTTTCCAAATCGGGACGGGGTTGTACGGTACATGGGCATCCATCCCCAGGTTTTGACGGTGCACGGACATCACATGGGTGGTTCTCTAAATTAGGGTCCCTTATTTAAGTCCCCAATATAACACCGCACTCTTATAAAAACTCCTAAACCTAAAACCCTAAACCCGAAACCCTAAACCAAAGGACTCTAAAAAAGGGATCCTAATTTAGAGAACTAGCCACATCCCAAGGCTCTTAAGGTCAAGGATCGATGAGCCTGGCCATCGAAGCCTTAGTTGCAGGATGCTTGCCGCAATTCTACTTAGTAGTAGTAGTAGTAGTAGTAGTAGTAGCAGCTGCAGCAGTAGTATACGATCATTGTAGTCCCTACATGAAACTATAATGTAACCCCTAGTGCTATGCGAATTACTATGGCCCCTGTATAATGCTGCTACCGAGGTATCCAATGGTCTCCATAGAAGATCCCTTCGACCAGGTTCGCACGTCTTTCGCAGAGGTGATCAATCTTGGTTTTTGATTCACTGTAGTTGCGGTTATTTAATTACTTGTAAACCCAACACCCCTAAACCCCTGCATCCCAAACCCTAAACCCGTCATTCAATGTTGCATGACGGCAGTGAAGATGCTGATGCTGAAGAACTTCAAGACAAGTCTGCTTCTCGGCTGTAGTGCTGCGGGTGTTGGTGCTGGCTGTGATGGAGACTGATGGCACTGAAGCTGACGACGATGTTGTACTGTTGACCATGATGTAAAATATGGTGATAATGACAACTGTGCTGGTGATTGTGATGCTCCTGCCACTGCTGCCGCTTGTGCAGCGGCTGCTGATGCTTTTGCTTGAATCGGCAGTCGAAGTAATGGCCCGCCCTTGCTGACTTCCGAGATGTGTGAAAGAGGTCTCGTTTGAGATGCGCTTCCCCTGTCGAGAAGGTCTTAGAGAGGGCGTAGAGGCCGTATCAACTTAACAGTTCAGGCTTCGCACTCAACATCTACTGAAGTCAAATCAGCAACCGGAAACCTCGCGCTACAGCCACTGAGACGTGCGCAGGATATAAGGGTCTTGAAGCCCTGACTTCCGGAGTTGTACAGGAAGTGCTCCATTTGCAGTTGCTTCGGATGGTGGCAATCTGCACCGTTTGCACCCTTGAGTCCTTGGAGGACGACTGGGACGGCTACAAGCCATTCACTGCGGCGATCGGAGACAAGGCCGAGCTTTGCAACTTCTGAATCCGGGATTCGCGAAGAGTTTTCTATCATCTACGCATGGGAGCTCTAGAAAGGAATGTTATTTTAGTGATTGCTTTCTGATTCTCCTGGGGCATGAGGGCGGACGACTCTCTTGGTTCAGTAGAGACGATCGGATGTGTATCCGCTTACGTGGCCAGGGAGTCATTGAACATCCTGTGCACCAAGCTCTGAAACTTCTACATCGTCCCTGTGCTTGGGAGACGAAAACCCAAAAGAACGGAGAGCAGGAGACGCCAAACGCCCACGATCCCTTGACAACCCTAAACCCCACTTCTCCACTGCCACCAGCGTCAATGATGCATTATTCGATTGAGACTCGCCGAATCAGGGCGCGGAACCGCTTTGCATATGGACTAGCCCCTAAACGTAAGCTTCCAAAACCCTTTTGCGTCCCTTTGCCCAACCCGTAGAAACCCTAAGCAAAGCATACGTCGGGCAACAGGTTAGTCTATGTACTCAGGAAGGTAAGTCATCGTGCACGAAAGTGTATGGACAAGTGGTAAGTTTTTGGGCGTTACGGCTTGTCGGCTTTAGGGCTTTAGGCCTCCAGGGCTTTTCGAGTTGGAGGCTTGAGGATTTCTAGAAGCCACACATACTTGACCAGTCTAAACCCTAAACCCTAAGCCCTAAACCCTAAACCCCTAAACCCCTAAGCCCTAAACCCTAAACCCTAAACCCTAAAGGCCCTAAACCCTAAGCCATAAAGACTAGGATCCTCAAGCGCAGGTCCAAGTCGTGGGCGATGATCTGCTGGTCACCAACCCGAAGCGTATTGGCAAGGCTGTGGAGGACGGCGATGCCCCGTGTCCTGAAAAGGGTAGAGCTTTCCAGGTTTGACCTGGAAGGGGATGTCCAGGAAGGTAATTTGAGCAGGTCAGGATTCATTAGCGGGCTTTGAGGTGCAATCGGCTCTTCACGGTGCTCGCTGGAGCTCGCTGTTCTGGCTCCCTTCCCCCCCCCATCCTTCCTTGATTGTATGTGTGTTTCTTTTGCCAGTCTTGTCAACTGTGTCGCCCTGCCTTCTTGCACGAGTCTTGTGCTGTGCATGTTCTTATAAGTTGCTGAAGTTGCCAAAATGTTCAAAGCACTTTCTACACCTTAAGGTTCGTGTCTTGCATAGCATAACCGTCCAGTCTTCACACCTTCTTGTCAGTGTCCACACACATTTGACCGTACAAGCTTTCTGGTCCTATGCTGCCGCTAGGACTTAATTCCTCATCGTCTTTCCAACTAACTAGTCCTGGGTTTGTGTTCTCGGCATGTTGTCAGTGGTAGCATTTTCCGATCGCATCACTGTTTGTTATGCTTTTGTGAACTATTACGTACCATCCATACCACTTCTTCCTCGCAATCTTAGTCGCGCACTAGTTTCAGTCGAATGCAAACGCTGCTACGGCAACATCGTTCCCGTTGTCGTGGGAGTGAGATTAAGGCCTCTTCAGTGACGGATGTCCTTCGTCCTTATGCCAGCGAATGGTCAACCCCAGTGGTCCGAGCGCAGTACGTTTCAAGAAACCGAAGCCCGAAATCCTAAACTACTATAGCCCCGAATCCTACTGCCTAAGCACACGAGAACCGCATCTGAGGCTTGCAACGCTTTGCTCCTCAAGGCGGGCCATACTGGCACTAAGGATACAGTTCCTCTGCTTGGAGGCTGAGGGCGATGATCACCCGGAAAAAGCCAAACAGATCGAGACCCGATCCGGTACACGGTTTAGGGTTTACCCTAACCCTCCAGGTACCTACTATATAGGGCCCTAGGGGCTCTAATACCCTATATAGTAGGTACGGGGTTTTAGGGTTAGGGTTTAGACGATGTCAATCCCAGATTCCTCCAACGTCTGGACCGGCTCCGCTCCCCGAAGCCTTCGGCACATCAGGGAGCCGGACGTACGTGAGAGCAGCAAAAACAGGGTGGGCCGTAACACCGCTGGCAACGCCTTCTTGAGCAAACCATCACGAAGCTAATTATCTTCATTTAATTTTCAGCAGTACCAATAAGAAAAGTGAAACAATAACAACAGGAAAAGTATGATCGTATATTGTAACAAACTTCATCATCCCCGCAAGGTGAATCAGATTGGCTCCATCTCCGAGGCCATCGAGGCATGCAAGCTCTGCCAGGACCGCTTTGGGGGTTGTCACGTCTTAAGGCTAGGACTTGCGAAGTTTAAAGTCTAGGGTTTAGGGGTTTAGAGTTTGGGGGTTTAAGGTTTAGGCTTTAGGGNNTTATTGCTGCAACCCGATTCCGTAGTGTTTTTTCTGTGCTCGAGCCAATCGCAGATGTACTTCGAGCCTGACACAGCTCTTGTCATTGGCAAGATGTATCAAGTTCTTCGTAATCATTGCAATTGGTGTTTGGCTGAAGAACCGACTGCGACAGCTCATGACACTGCTCCTGCAGCGTTGCTTCTGCTGCTTCCTATACCGTGCGACTGCAACTGGTGACCCGACTGGCAGTGGTAGTTGTAATTGCACAAGCAATCGTGGCTGCTGCTACTACTACTACTAC